AAAGTCATTGGGATGGATAGAAAGGAATTGAGACGACCCCCAAACCAACCCCAGAACCACTGAGATGGACCCAAAGTCATTGGGATGGATAGGAAGGAAATGAAACGGCCTTCAGACCAACCCCAGGGACACTGAGATGGACCCAAAGTCATTGGGATGGATAGAAAAGAAATGAAGCGGCCTTCAGACCAACCCCAGGGACACTGAGATGGACCCAAAGTCACTGAGATGGATAGAAAGGAATTGAGACAACCCCCAAACCAACCCCAGAACCACTGAGATGGACCCAAAGTCATTGGGATGGATAGAAAGGAAATGAAACGGCCCTCACACCAACCCCAGAGCCACTGAGATGGACCCAAAGTCATTGGGATGGATAGAAAGGAATTGAGACGACCCCCAAACCAACCCCAGAACCACCGAGATGGCCCCAAAGTCATTGAGATGGCCCCAAAGTCATTGAGATGGCCCCAAAGTCATTGAGATGGCCCCCAAACCAACCCCAGAGCCAACAGATGGACCCAAAGTCATCAAGATGGATACAAAGGAATTGAGATGGCTCACAGACCAACACCAGAGCCAACAAGATGGACCCAGAGTCACCGAGATGGATATAAAGGAATTGAAATGGGCGTCACACCAACTCCAGAGTCACTGAGATGGACCCAGATTCATTGAGATGGCCCCCAAACCAACCCCAGAGCCACCAAGATGGACCCAGAGTCATTGCGATGGATAGAAAGGAATTGAAGTGGCCCTCATACAAATCCCAGAGTCACTGAGATGGACCCAAAGACATTGGGATGGCCCCCAAACCAACCCCAGAGTCACCAAGGTGGACCCAAAATTATCAAGATGGATAGAAAGGAATTGAAATGGCCCACAGACCAACACCAGAGCCAACAAGATGGCCCCGAAGTCATTGAGATCGATAGAAAGGAAATGAAACGGTCTACAGACCAACCCCAGATCTACTGAGATGGACCCAGAGCCATTGGGGTGGATACAAACGTTGAGACGACCCCCAAACCAACCCCAGAGCCACTGAGATGGACCCAGAGTCATTGGGATGGATAGAAAGGCATTGAAATGGCCCACAGACCAACCCCAGAGCCAACAAGATGGACCCAAAGTCATTGAGACGACCCCCAAACCAACCCCAGAGCCACTGAGATGAACCCAAAGTCATCAGGATGGATAGAAAGGAATTGAAGTGGCCCACAGACCAACACCAGAGCCACTGAGATGGACCCAGAGTCATCAGGATGGACCCAAAGGAATTAAAATGGCCCCCAAACCAACCCCAGAGCCAACAAGACGGACCCAAAGTCACTGAGATGGATAGAAAGGCATTGAAATGGCCCACAGACCAACACCAGAGCCACCAAGACGGACCCAAAGTCATTGAGACGACCCCCAAACCAACCCCAGAGCCAACAAGACGGACCCAAAGTCACTGAGATGGATAGAAAGGCATTGAAATGGCCCACAGACCAACCCCAGAGCCAACAAGATGGACCCAAAGTCATCGAGACGACCCCCAAACCAACCCCAGAGCCACTGAGATGAACCCAAAGTCACTGAGATGGATAGAAAGGAATTGAAGTGGCCCACAGACCAACACCAGAGCCACTGAGATGGACCCAAAGTCACCAGGATGGATAGGAAGGAAATGAAATGGCCTTCACTCCAACCCCAGGGCCACTGAGATGGACCCAATGTCACTGAGATGACCCCAAGATCAACTGCAAAGCCATTGAGATGATCCCAAAGTCACTGAAATGACCCCAAAATCAACCACAAAACCATTGAGATGATCCTAAAGTCACTGAGATGACCCCAAAGTCAACCCCAAAGCCACTGAAATGACCCCAAAATCACTGAAATGATCCCCAAATCAACTCCAAAGTCACTGACATGATCCCAAAGTCACTGAGACGACCCCAAAGTCAACCCCAAAGCCATTGAAGTGACCCCAAAGCCACTGAAATGACCCCAAGATCAACTCCAAAGCCATTGAGATGACCCCAAAACCACTGAGATGACCACAAAGACACTGAGACGACCCCAAAATCAACCCCAAAACCACTGAAATAACCCCAAAATCAACTCCAAAGCCATTGAGATGACCCCAAAACAACTGAACTGACCCCAAGATCAATTCAAAACCACTGAAATGACCCCAAAGTCACCGAAATGACACCAAAACCACTGAAATGACACCAAACCCACCCAGGAGACCCCAAAGCCAGCCCTCCCCGATGTCCCCAGAGCCACCCAGGAGAGCCCAACGCTCACCTTGAACTTGGGGACGGGCAGGGAGAGGTCGCGGTGCTTGGACCAGATGCGGCGCGGCCGGGGGTCCCGCACGTCGCCTTCGGGTCGGTACCCGGAGTCCTGTGGGGTGCAGCACCCACGGCTGGGGCCCAGAAGTCTTCCCACTTCCCTCCAGCCCCACGCCTTCGGCTTCCCCGCAGTCCTGGATCCCATTCCAGGCCTTTTGGGGCGCCCCACGCCACGAAGCATCCGAACTCCCATCTCTCAACCTCCAAACGCCCCCCCAAAACACCCCCAAATCCACATCTGTGGGGCACCAGTGATGCTATAGGGCGTTCAGGGGACGCCTATGGGGCACCCCACACCACTTATAGGGCTGCATCCCTGCTTTTGAAGCCCTTAGCCCCACGCTATCATCCCCCCATTACCCGCGGGTGAACTCCAAAACCCTGTGGGGAGGGAGGAAGGGTTCGTTAGCGGGCAGCTCGTTAACGAGGCTCATTAGGACACTCACGGGGACGCTGAAGTGGACGCCATCGTAGCGGTAGACCTTCTGGGGGGCGCGGCGCAGCGCGGGGTCCACCACCAGCTTGTAGCTGCGCCACGGCACGCTGGGGGGACGCTGGCTCTCACCCCCCACCTCCGGCTCCATTCTGCCTCATTGACACTGGGGAGGGGGCACGGGGGTCAGCACACCCCTAATCCCCCCTTTAATTCCCCCCCCGTGTCCCCCCAGCCCCTCGTAACCCCATAACACCCCTTATTTTCCCCTCCTAGAAATATTCTAAGACCACCCCGACGTGCTGCAGAATCACCACAAAGTGCCATGAAACGCCCCAAAACCACTCAAGTTACCCACAAAACATCCTAAATTCCTCCCACGGTGTCTCAGAGCCACCCCAAAGCATCCCTCAATGATTGAAGATACCCCAAAGACGCTGAAGTGACCCCAAGATCGACTCAAAACCATTGAGATGACCCCAAAGCCATCGACGTGACCCCAGAGCCATTGAGATGACCCCAAAATCAACCCAAAGACATTGAAATGACCCCAAGATCACCTCAAAACCATCAAGATGACCCCAAAGTCACTCAGATGACCCCAAACTCAACCCGAAAGCCAAAATCCCCCGCAACCACCCCAAATCCATGCCCAAATCCCCCCCAGTGAGCCCCCAAATGCCCCCCCAACCACCTCGAATTCATGCCAAAAGGCTTCAGGTGGACACTGCTGTCCCAAAATCCCCCAGAATCACACCAAAATGCCCTCAAATGCACTACAGCCACCTCAGAGCATCACAAATTCCCCTTCAATCACCCCAAATTTGTGTCAAAATGCCTCAAAACCACCTCAAAATGTCCTCCAGTATCCCAAAGCCACCCCAAAGTGTCCCAAAATGCCCCACAATCACCCCAAAATGCCCTGAAACCACCCCAAAATGCCCTCCAGTACCCCAGAGTGACCCCAAAGTGTCCCAAAATGCCCCACAATCGCCCCAAAAAGTTTCAGACCCACCCCAAAACACCTTCCAGCACCTCAGAGCCACCCCAGTGCCCCAAAACACCCCACAACCACCCCAAGTTCATGCCAAAAAGCCCCAGATCCTCCCCAAAATACCCTCCAGATCCCCAAAACTGCCATATTTTCCCCCAAATTTACCCATTTCCCCCCATATTCAGCTCAGTTCTCCCCACCCCCCTAAGCCCCAAACCCCGGGCCCCATATTTCCCTCACAAACCCCATATATCCCCCTCATATTCCCTGATTACCCCTGTTTTCCCCCAAATTTACCACCCAATCCCCACATTTCCCCTCACTCCCCATCATTCACCTCAGTTTTACCTCAAAATCCCCACATTCACTCCAAAATCCCCTTCATTCCCCAACCCTTAACACAGATTCCACACGTTTATCCCACTTCCCCCCAAATTATCTCACTTTCCCTGGAATTCATCACAGCTTTACCTCACAATTCCCACGTTTACCCCAAAATCCCCACGACTCCTCTCAGATCTGCCAATTTCTCCTCATTCCCTCAAATTCACCTCATTTTTAGCCCCAAATGCCCACATTTTCCTCAAAATGTCCTTAACTCCTTCAGAACCCCAATTCTGACCTCGCATCCTCCTTAATTCACTTCACTTCTACCTGAAACTTTCCATAATTCCCTCAAAATCCTCAATATTTACCTCAATTCCCCCAAATTCACCTCAAATCCTTGATATTCACCTCAAAATCCCCAATATTCACCTCAGTTACCCCAAATTTGCCTGAAATTTCCTTCAGATCCCAATGTTTGCCCCCCAAATCTGCAATATTTCCATCAGTTCCCCCAAATTCCTCAGATTTACCCCAAAATCCCCAATGTTCACCCCAAAATCCCTAATCTTTACCTCGATTGCCCCAAATTTACCTGATTTCCCTCAAAACCCTCAAGATTTACCTCAGTTTCCCCCAAATTCACCTGTTTTGCCTCAGGTCCCCAGTATTTACCCCAAAACCACCAACGTTTACCCCATTTTCTTCTCCATTTACATCCCCACCCCCACCTTCCCCCCTCTGCCCCCAAATTCACCCCATTTTTCCCCAAACCCACCTCAGTTTGACCTCAAATCCCCCACATTTCCCTCAAAATCCCCAGCATTCATCTCAGCACCCCAAGATTCTCCCCAGTTTTACTAGAAACCCCAATATTTACCCCAAAACCCCCCATATTCACCTCACTTTCCCCCATTTACCTCAGCACCCCCACATCCCCCCCCAGCCCCAAATTCACCCCAGTTCCACCTCAGCCTTACCTCAAATCCTTGATATTTCTCTCAAAATCCCCACGTTTACCTTATTTTCCTTCCGGTCTACTTTACTTTTACTCCAAATCCCCAATATTTGACCCCAAATCCCCAATATTTCCCCTCCAAATCCCCAATATTTACCTTAGCGCCCCCATATTTCCCCCCACGCCCCCAAATCCATCTCAGTTTCCCCCACATTTCCCTCAGTTTTGATCTCAAATCCCCCACATTTCCCTCAAAATCCCCGATGTTCACCTCAGCATCCCTCGATTTCCCTCAGTCTTACCTCAAATTCCCAACATTTGTCCCCAAATCCCCATTACTTACCTCGTTTTTTCTCCATTTACCTCACGCCCCCCCCCACGTTTACCTCAGTTTCCCCCAAATTCATTTCATTTTTACCCCAAACCCCCAAATTCACCTGTTTCCCCCATATTTATCTCAGATACACTTCAAAATCCCAATACTCACCCCCAAACCCCCAATATCTCCCTTATTTCCCCCCATTTACCTGAGCACCCCCCATTCCTCCTCACACCCCCAAATTCACCCTGTTTTCCCCCCAATTCCCCTCAGTT